ATTCACAGGTCCATCACACGAGACCGAGTCTCATCAAAGCGTCTGAAGGAAGAAGCGCTCTTGTTGTCCTTCTTATAGTCATCCCCCCCTCTAGAAATCCCATTGGATGATGGGAGTAATGAGAAGTAGTCTTTATTTCATCGTGGTCAGGAGGCTCATCGTGGTCAGGAGGCTCATCGTGGTCAGGAGGCTCATCGTGGTCAGGAGGCTCATCGTGGTCAGGAGGCTCATCAACTGCAAAATCTTTTCCTAGACTATAAAATTATACTCTTGGAGTCGCTTGACACAGGACGTTATACTGTTGGGTTATGCCGACACCTATCAGAGGATTGGACACTAGCAGGGACATCCGCTTACACCGACAACACGTCCGCGACCTCCGACAGTCCCCCTCTAGCGTTACATATACGGAGTCCAGATCTGAACTGTGGCCCTTTGACCACATGAGGGGCCGCGCTGGAGTTCCCTATGACCAGTAAGTGTCCCGGCACTGCCATAGACGCGGGATAGTAGAAGACATTGCTTACCATGGCCGAGCTGGAGGCCTCGTCCCCGGCACACACCAGGATGCTGCCGTCTCGGTCCGGACTCTGGAATATGGCGTTTTTGGTCAGGAGTTTGCAGGTGGGTCCGGCGTTGAAGGTCTGAACCGGGTAACAGGAACAGTTGTAGTCGTCCGCGGAGTCCGCCAGGCGGCTGCTGGTGAGTTCCATCATCACGCAGCGCACGTAGTTGTGGGTCTTGCCTGCCGATAGAACAGTCACAGGTTACCGAGAAGAAAGAGAAATCCGACTTCCACCCCCAATCTGATCGTACAATCTCCCGGAGATCTGCGGGGCCGGGCGGATGGCTTTGATTGGTCCGCATGTCACACGGAAAGAAGATTGTACAATCAGACTGTAAGGTGAAGGGTCAGATTTAGGCGCAAAACTAATCGTACACTCCCTTGTTATCCCTCGTCTTCACTATTGCAACTCCCTCCTCATTGGCTGACCTCTACACAGGCTCCTCCCCCTTTCAGTCTATCATGAATGCAGCTGCCAGACTCCTTCACCTAACCAACCGCTCAGTGTCTGCAACCCCCCTCTGCCGATCCCTTCCCTGGCTTCCATCCCCCGCCACCCTCTGCCGATCCCTTCACTGGCTTCCATCCCCCGCCCCCCTCTGCCGATCCCTCCACTGGCTTCCATCCGCCACCCCCCTCTGCCAATCCCTCCTCTGGCTTCCATCCCCCGCCCCCCTCTGCCGATCCCTCCACTGGCTTCCATCCGCCACCCCCCTCTGCCAATCCCTCCTCTGGCTTCCATCCCCCGCCCCCCTCTGCCGATCCCTCCACTGGCTTCCATCCGCCACCCCCCTCTGCCAATCCCTCCTCTGGCTTCCATCCCCCGCCCCCCTCTGCCGATCCCTCCACTGGCTTCCATCCGCCACCCCCCTCTGCCAATCCCTCCTCTGGCTTCCATCCCCCGCCCCCCTCTGCCGATCCCTCCACTGGCTTCCATCCGCCACCCCCCTCTGCCAATCCCTCCTCTGGCTTCCATCCCCCGCCCCCCTCTGCCGATCCCTCCACTGGCTTCCATCCGCCACCCCCCTCTGCCAATCCCTCCTCTGGCTTCCATCCCCCGCCCCCCTCTGCCGATCCCTCCACTGGCTTCCATCCGCCACCCCCCTCTGCCAATCCCTCCTCTGGCTTCCATCCCCCGCCCCCCTCTGCCGATCCCTCCACTGGCTTCCATCCGCCACCCCCCTCTGCCAATCCCTCCTCTGGCTTCCATCCCCCGCCCCCCTCTGCCGATCCCTCCACTGGCTTCCATCCGCCACCCCCCTCTGCCAATCCCTCCTCTGGCTTCCATCCCCCGCCCCCCTCTGCCGATCCCTCCACTGGCTTCCATCCGCCACCCCCCTCTGCCAATCCCTCCTCTGGCTTCCATCCCCCGCCCCCCTCTGCCGATCCCTCCACTGGCTTCCATCCGCCACCCCCCTCTGCCAATCCCTCCTCTGGCTTCCATCCCCCGCCCCCCTCTGCCGATCCCTCCACTGGCTTCCATCCGCCACCCCCCTCTGCCAATCCCTCCTCTGGCTTCCATCCCCCGCCCCCCTCTGCCGATCCCTCCACTGGCTTCCATCCGCCACCCCCCTCTGCCAATCCCTCCTCTGGCTTCCATCCCCCGCCCCCCTCTGCCGATCCCTCCACTGGCTTCCATCCGCCACCCCCCTCTGCCAATCCCTCCTCTGGCTTCCATCCCCCGCCCCCCTCTGCCGATCCCTCCACTGGCTTCCATCCGCCACCCCCCTCTGCCAATCCCTCCTCTGGCTTCCATCCCCCGCCCCCCTCTGCCGATCCCTCCACTGGCTTCCATCCGCCACCCCCCTCTGCCAATCCCTCCTCTGGCTTCCATCCCCCGCCCCCCTCTGCCGATCCCTCCACTGGCTTCCATCCGCCACCCCCCTCTGCCAATCCCTCCTCTGGCTTCCATCCCCCGCCCCCCTCTGCCGATCCCTCCACTGGCTTCCATCCGCCACCCCCCTCTGCCAATCCCTCCTCTGGCTTCCATCCCCCGCCCCCCTCTGCCGATCCCTCCACTGGCTTCCATCCGCCACCCCCCTCTGCCAATCCCTCCACTGGCTTCCATCCGCCATGGAGGCGGTGTGTACTCACCGGGCCGGTAAGTGACCAGGCAGTGCCGGGTGCTGCTCTCCATCTGAACGTCTGTGCATCCCCCGAGCTCCAGGGGCAGCAAGTGCGGCTTGTACTGGACGTCCTTCCTCTCCCAAAAACACGCTCCTTCCAAGGTCCCCGCCAGCACCCCTCCGCAGGGGAAGACCTCCGAGGCGGCGCGAGGAACGTAGGAGAGAGAAACCACCGGACAGCTGGAAGGAGACAGATGGAGGATTACAGGGAAGAGCAGAAGAATCTATCTCATGCCCGGCACAGGCCCCGCCCCCAATCCCATAGACATCAAATTCCATGACAAGCGGGTGGGCGCAGAGCGCCCCGGGGGGCCCGGCATGCTGATAAAGATTGCAGGTAAGTGGCATTTCCATCATTAGAGTGCAACCCCAACCAAAACTTTTGTTTGTCAAGTTTGTGTAGCCATCTAAAAACATTTTATACCTTATAATAGACTCAGTGGTGTCATCACCGAGTCTCTGTGAAATGCAGGCAGGTCAGGGCTGGTGGGAGGGGCCGGCGGGGTGCCGTATACACCTTCCTGAAAACATCACAGCACCCTGCCTCAGTACTCCCTCTCAAGAGCCCTCAGTCCTGATACAAGCAGTGGGATGGCTCTTAAGTGGACTTATGCAAATGTCAAAATGACGGAGGTCAGATAGAAGACTGAAGGGGAGGACGGAGGTCAGATAGAAGACTGGAGGGGAGGACGGAGGTCAGATAGAAGACTGAAGGGGAGGACGGAGGTCAGATAGAAGACTGAAGGGGAGGGGACGGAGGTCAGATAGAAGACTGAAGGGGAGGACGGAGGTCAGATAGAAGACATTATACAGGTTCTCTTTTACTCACCGAGAGCCCTGCGGGGTCAGCTCCTTCACGTATTGGCTCGTGTCCCTCAGGTCGTACACCAGCACCGAGCCGTTGATCAGACCGGCATAAACATAATTCGTGTCATCGGAGCACCAGCAGCAGCTCCATACCGGCCGCCCGGCATTGTACGTCTGCACCACGGTGTTAGTCAGCAGGCTGCGAGAGGGATAGACGGTGACACTGCGCTCTTCTTAAACAATACCCCCCCCCAAAGATTAATCATTGGTGTCTGGATGCCCAACCCAAACTTTTCTTATAGTTTAAATGGAGGGGGAGCCAAGGTTCGCCACCACCGTCATAGGGAATAGCTAAGCTCCAACTCTGCTGGCGATGGATAGCAGAGGGGACATCGGGGGGGCGGGGGACTACATCTGTCCCAGCAGCACTCACCTGGTCAGTTTCACCGTGTTATCGAGAGCGGCGGAGAGCAGGAGGCCGTCAGAGCGGCCATTGAAGGCCAGGCCCCGGATCTGCTTGGAATGGATGGGAATGTATTGGCTGCTTTTCATGTTTGCTGCACTTAAACACAGGTATGCAGGAGGTAACCCCTGAGGAGGAGCAAAGGGGCAAGTTCCCGGTGTGATAGAGAAGGGGCACCCTCTGCCAAAGCAGACCCAGAGGAGGGCCGCTGACCCAACCCATCACCCAAACCAATAACCAGTTGCACCGATCCTGGGTGGTAGGAAACAATCTAAACTGAAGGATGAGCGGGTTGGGAGGTCCCTTCTGCGCCCATTTCCTGTAGGGGGAGAACCAATCATCTCTCGCTGCGGTCCTGGAAGATGATTGGGATCTTTCTATAGTCAGTCTAAACAGAGAACCAGTAAGCAGTACTTGGTAGGAAGCAGAAGCCGCATAGGTAATATGTTTGCCGCACGGTTATTTGGTCGGGATGCACCGATACCGGTATTTCGGTATAGAGCACGATGACAGATATTGGTTTTTTTTTTTTGGTACTCGCCAATACCGAAAACCGGAAGTCCCATTCAGTAAGCCAGGTGGCGTGTAATGACTCGCCACCCGGCTTCCCCATTAGCAGGGAAGCCGTCCCCGTGCGTCTCGCCACTAGGTGACAAAAAAGCATGGAGCCGGCTTCCCGGCCAATCAGGAAGCCGGCCGCTGTGTACTGACGCGGCGCCCTGGCTTCCCGATTGGCCGGGAAGCTCCCTCGTCATGAGGCGACGAGGGAGCATGGAGCCGGCTTCCTGACCAATCGGAAAGCTGTGCGCCGCGTCTTCACACGGGATCTTTTCCGATCAGGAAACCGGGCAACGTGTCGTCGTTACACACTGCCGGCTTCCTGATTGGCCAGGGAAGCCGGCTCCATGCTCTCTCGTGACAAGTGCCAATCAGGGAGCCAGGCAGCGTGTAATGACGCTCTGCCTGGCTTCCCAATACCGGGAGTATAGGGCCAGCCATTGGAGCGAGTACGAGTGCTTGCCCAAATACTCGGCATCGGCACCGATACCAATACTAGTATCGGTATCGGTGCATGCCTAGTTATTTGTATTTACAATCTACAAAACAGAAGGAAGGCATTTTATGGCCCATACTGTATGACATGCTGCGTTGCTTGGTCGGGAGCGCTCAGGAAGTATCCAGAGCGGGTCATGTGACCTCCTCCAAGGATGTAATGCAGTGACAAGGTCTCAAAACAGCCAAAATACACAAAGAAAACCATAAAACAGACTTTGCGTTCCCTTTAAAAAAGGGGGTTCAGCGACTTACCGGGAATGAGGGTGGCGTGTGAGGAAGGCTGTGACACCACAAGGCATCCCAGCCACTCGCAGTAGGACATGACGCGGCAGTTCCCGGTCTGGTTGATGAGGACGGCCTTCTCAAAGTTGTACTTGTGCTGACCCTGGCTGGATGACAGAGAGCTGGACGCTCCCACCCGGGAGGAAGAGGGCAACTGGGAGGAGCTTGTGCCGTGCTGGGCCATCAGCATCTTCAGTTCCTTATGGAGAAAAAAAAATGCAGGTGTGACCAACACAGATCCCCAGAAAGAGGGAGCGAAGCAGACCCCCCCCCCAAAAAGAGGGAGCAACGCAGACCACCCCCCCTGTTGGACTCCCGAGAATGTTCTGACATTTCTGAGCAAAGTACAGAGTGCAGAACTCCCCATTCCCTCCAACTTGCCGCCCCCCATGGATTCCTCACCTGGATCTGCTTGCGGAGCTTCCCGCACTCATCCGTCAGCACCTGGACCTGAAGCCGACACTGCGCCGATTCAAGCTCCGCCTTTTTCCGCAGGGAATGCTCCTTCTCCAGAGAACTGCAACAGACAGTTTCGCAGCCTTGGTCAGTCCAAGCAGAACCTCCCTGGGTTCACACGGCACACTCCCTTCCCTATAGGACTTACCTCTTCATGCGTTCCTGCTCGCTGGTGTCCAGCGCCTTCAGCGTCCGGGCGTACAGGACCACCACGTCCGACCGCTTGGCTTTCTTGTTGCACTGGGGATCAAACGAAATTTTAAAAAGGAGGGGGAGGAGTTACAACAGGTTCCAAAATTCTTCATTCCAATGCCAGCGGACACCCTCCATGTTATTCTTCAAGGAAAACTCTTGTGTACGTTGCGGCTTTACTAAGCAGCGAAGTATTTGGGCAAGTACTCGTACTCGCCCCAAATGCTCCGATTCCTGGAACTTTAGGTCCGAGGAAGAATTCCTCTGACCGGCCGTGCCGTATGGGAACATGGGGCCGGCTTCCCGGCCTATCAGGAAGCCGGGTCATTACTCGCCACCCGGCGAGTAATGACCGGGAAGCTGGCTCGCAGCTGGCTGGCTAGCCGGTTTCTCAGCCAATCACAATCAAGCCGGCCAAACAGAAAGACGGGCGGCATGTCCATTACACGCCGCCAGGCTTCCCGGCTCCATGCCAGTGGAAGCACCGGTATCGGTACTCGGTATCGACTATTCCCGAAAGCAAAATATCGGTACCCGATAACGAGAAACAGGTACCTGTGCATCCCCAGCACATACATTACTACAAACCATCAACGACATTTATATTATTCACATGAATACGTACAAAAAATAAAGAAATAATTGGCTCATATGAAAGATTTTTCTTCTTCTTTAGATACATTGTATTCACATATCTATGGAACCTTTTGGCCGGAATGGGTTTTCAGGTTGTCACCGGCTCCTTTGGTCTGTTTCCTCTGTAAGCAGGGGTAGGAACAGCTAAATCCTATGCGGGTGTCAGCCCTCTCCCAGCAAACGAGGCGACACCTGCACCTTACCGGTCCGTTATCTGTCCTGAACCACTCTTTTGATAAGTCTAATAACGAGGGATGCACCGATACTAGTATCGGTGCCGATACCGAGTATTTGGGTGAGTACTCGTACTCGCCCCAATGCTCCGATGCCGAGCACGAGTACTTCCTGTATCTGGAAGCCGGGCAGCGCGTCATTACACGCTGCCCGGTTTCCTGATTGGCCAGCAAACGGCTCCATGCTCCCTCGTCACTTGTGATGAGAGAGCATGGAGCCGACTTCCCGGCCAATCGGGAAGCCGGGTAGCGTGCAATGACGCGCTGCCCGGCTTCCCGATTGGTCAGGAAGCTGGCAAATACTGAAGCCGGGCGCCGTGTAATGATTGGCCTGGGAAGCCGGCGTCATGCTCCCTGGTCGGCTCATGAATCATACTATTAAGAAAGTGACCTTAAAGCATTAGTTGGTATTGATGTAGAAAAAATGTGACCTGTCCCTTTAAGAAAAAGTATCGGTAATTGGTATCGGTGAGTACTTGATCAAAAGTATCGGTACTCGCTCTTAAAAAAAAGTGGTATCGGTGCATCCCTACTAAAAACATTTCATCCTGCCAGGAATACTTCAGCATATCCGCACAGGAAGAGACCTCAAAAGGACAAGCCTGACCCCCCGACATGGTGAGCATTTACCTGCGGACATTTGGCCGCTCCTCCCTTCAGCCACCGATCGATGCAGGTGAAGCCAAAGAGATGTCCGCAGCGCAGCGCAGACAGGCGGTGCTGCCCGGCGTTGGTCCAGGGCTCGAAGCAGATGGTGCAAGTGTCTCCTTCCTCCTCCTCGGTTATCAAAGAGCTGCCCGCAGGCTTCACCGGCGTCCGCTGAAAAAAGGCGAACAGAACTATTAACGTCCTTTTTGGTTACAGGATTCTAAAACTACAAAAAGGAAACGTCACTGAAACGTGGAGGACGGGAAGGTGCCATTGAACCCAGACCCCAGAGACATCCACCTCGAAGGGGGTAACGACCCCGGGGACCTCCACAAGAGTGCGGAACACCGCGGTCAGGGCATGTGAGGGGGGCGCAATCGAGGCACCAACGCTCCTTACATAATGACCACAGGCACCCAACTTTTGAGGCTTTCGCTAGTTGTTGTCAATGGATTTGGCTCCTAAAAAAAAAGATCCTGCTGGGTCCTGGATTGGACAGACTGGCTCCTGAATGACATTACAATACAATTCAAGACAAGATGGCAAGGAGGGCCCTGCCCCTCAGGGCTTACAATCTAAAAGGGAGGGGCCTGTGATACATGAGGAGGGAGCTGCGTGGGGATGAATGGTTCAGTGGCCAGGTTGAGGTGGGATCGGCTTCCCTGAAGAGATGAGTCTTAAGGGATCGCCTAAATGAAGTCAAAGTGGGAGATAGTCGGACAGGTTGGGGGTAACAAGTTCCAGAGGATGGGAGAGACTCTAGAGAAGTCCTGGGAGGTAATATTTGGACTTTTCTCAAGAACCCACCACCTAATGAGGGTGTCCGGATATAAATGAGCCGTCACACAATAGAAAGTGTGCTCTATGAACGCTACATCCATTCACCATACTAGATACTAATAGAAGATCGAGCACCACTCTTTGCAAGTACCTGTTTGACTTTGGCTGGGGACACAGATGACGCAGAGGAGTCCTGCACCACAACCACTGGCTCCAGGGTTACAGGGGCTTCGGTACCAGCTTCTACCAGATTTATATGGAGTTCCTCTGGAGCTAAAGAAAAAAAAAAAAATGGGAAAAAAACAAAACTATCAATGTGACAACAGGAAGTAACCCGAGAGAGGTCTACAGCTGTGTTAGACAAGTCTGGACCGTCTTTCTGGACACTCTAGGGACAAAACCATCCATACCATGTCCAGGAGAGACAGGACCATACTTTGTCCCCAGATAACAGATCAGTTAGACGCAGAGACCATGCAATGTCCCCAATGAGACCAAGGAGGGGCAATACCTTCCTTTGTCCCCCTACGAGACAAGACCCTGAGAGACAAAATACCATGCCAGGTCCCCACTGAAACCCAGGAGAGACCATCTCATGCTCCCATCAAGACACTAGATATCCCCCCCATGTTCCAAACGAGACATAGGAGACCATGCAATGTCCCCAATGAGACCCAGGAGGGACAATACCCTCCCATCTCCCATACAAGATGAGACCCTACCATAACCCCAATGAGACCCGGGAGGAGACAAAAGACCATATCATGCACCCATCTAGACCCAGGAGAGACTAAAGACCACTCCGTGTTCCCAACAAGACTCAGGAGGCCATGCCATGTCTCCAATGAGTCCCAGGAGAGACCAAAGACCATGCAATGTCCCTAGTTAGACCCATGAGAGACCATCCCAAAGGATACCCAGGAGAGACGAGACCCTTCCATGTCCCCTACGACAAGAGACCCTTCCATGTCCCCTACGACAAGAGACCCTTCCATGTCCCCTACGACAAGAGACCCTTCCATGTCCCCTACGACAAGAGACCCTTCCATGTCCCCTACGACAAGAGACCCTTCCATGTCCCCTACGACAAGAGACCCTTCCATGTCCCCTACGACAAGAGACCCTTCCATGTCCCCTACGACAAGAGACCCTTCCATGTCCCCTACGACAAGAGACCCTTCCATGTCCCCTACGACAAGAGACCCTTCCATGTCCCCTACGACAAGAGACCCTTCCATGTCCCCTACGACAAGAGACCCTTCCATGTCCCCTACGACAAGAGACCCTTCCATGTCCCCTACGACAAGAGACCCTTCCATGTCCCCTAACGACAAGAGACCCTTCCATGTCCCCTTACGACAAGAGACCCTTCCATGTCCCCTACGAGATGGGACCCCAGTGAGAGGATGCCATGTCCCCAATGAAATCTAGAACTGACCAGTGACCATGCCATGTCCCTGATGAGACCCAGAAGAGACCAGACCCTCCCATGTCCCCACTGTGATCCAGGAGACCATGGAGCAGAAAGATCTCCCTTTCCATACAGAAAGCCACGGGCATGGCATCGGCACCTCATGTACACACTTGTTTGGCCTGTGTGCAGATTACCACGAATGTTCCGCGGTGATCCTGCCATGAAGGTTCTTGTTCAGGAACGTCCTATTATAGGGTGACAATGCTCTGTCACGGTCTCTTATTGTGCTCCTGCATTGTCACCCGGTCCAGCTCGGGGTTTTTTCAGATGAAATAGTATCAAAGGAGTGAAGAGAAAATAAACGGCGCAAACCGGAACCATCGTAACTAAACCCGGTACCGAGGCCATCGCGGCCGGACTCGTTAGTATTTGTCATCACATAAGCACACTCGGGGCGGCCTGTAAGGACATACCTGGCTCGGCGGGTTGTGCGGACGTAGCGTCCTCCTCTTCCACCTCGGTGGAACTTCCTCCTTCTTCATCGCCTAGCAACACCGTGTCATCAGAACTGTCTTCTTCAGACTCATCGGGGGGCGCCGACATGGCCTCGCTGACATTCCTGCTCCCCCCTGCTGGGGCAGAGGACCCCAGGCCTCCTCTGGCTTGGAAGAAGTTCAGGAGTCCGGTACGTGAGCTGAAAACACAGAACATGAAGAGTCTCACACTGCCAGCCAGAGCGGAGCGCGGCGGTCATTCAACCGATCCTCACCTGGTACCCGACGTGCGCTGAGATCCCCCCCTGTGCTGCCTCCTGGCGTGCCGCCTCCGAGTCCGGGTTTGGTGTGATGAGGAGTTCAGCTCGGCGGCCTGGCGCAGTTGCTCTAGCGCCCCCTGCAGCATCTGCAGCGCGTTCGAAGTATGCGATTCGAGGGGCGACGGCTGGTGCGCCGACGGGTCCTCGCCACCGTCCAGGACGATCGCGTCGCTGTTCAGCCTCGGCGCAGAGATCGGCTCCCTCATGAGCTCCGCAAACATCATCGGGGGTGGCAATATGAACAACGAGTCCCCTGCGGAGGGCTGTCTGGACGGCGGCGGTTCTGCTGGAGCGTTTTCACCAAACAGGTCGACGTCCATTTCCTCTTGCGCCATTCTCGGGCCTGGAACACAAGAACATCTGAGCCACGCAAAAAAAAATGATCTACATACCAAAGACAACTGTTATAACCGGTCATGTGACCTCTTCCAGAAGGCCATTGGAGTGCTGGTGTCATGTGACTGGCTCTGCCAACATCCATTGACAAGAGACCATGTGACCTCGGCTAATGGACCCATAAAACGGACCAACTGTTCCAAACCGGTCATGTGACCTCTTCCAGGTGGCCATTGGAGTGCTGGTATCATGTGACTGGCTCTGCCAACATCCATTGACAAGAGACCATGTGACCGATGCCGCGGCAAACGGACCCATAAAACGGACCAACTGTTATAACCGGTCATGTATGTGACCTCTTCCAGGTGGCCATTGGAGTGCTGGTGTCATGTGACCGGCTCTGCCAACATCCACTGACAAGAGACCATGTGACCGATGCCTCGGCTAACGGACCCATGTGAGGCAGACGTGTAACCGTCTCATTTCCAAATGTGGCAACTTTGTTCTGAAATGTATCCATTTCTGTAACCAGCCGCCGGTCACATGACCCACGCCTCTGCTTCAGTCATGTGACCAGTGTCTGGTTACAGAAAGGGGAGACCTCTCCGAGCGATTTTACACCGAGTGGTCACCACCAGGGAGAGGACCAGGTGAAAAAGATCTAAAGGCAAAACATGAACTGTTGGATGGAGCAGCGCTCCCATTTAGGGGTTTCACTTCCTGTCCCGTTGACACAACAGGAAGTGAGAGGAAATCCCTTCTTAGTAGTCACCAGAACCAGATGTGGAATATTCCTTTTCAGTTTCTGTTCTGGCGACAACCCGAACACTTTGGATTTCCCGTCACTCCTAGTCCCTTTGCCACCGGGACAAAGAGAGGGTGAGTGTCCCCAGAGGAGGCGTGGACAGCAATAAAAACCTGTCGGGGGGTGGGGGACCCACCCAAATCTAAAACCCGTGAGGTCCAGACCTGCGAGGCAGGAGGGGAGCACAAGACCACCTTAAATGAAGGCCAGGTGCGCCATTTTGTTCACCCAACTGGAATACAGCCATCAAGGCTGTTGGAGTCACCCCGCCCCCCCCAACCCTAAACGGGGGCAATCCTGACCAGCAGAAAGGGAACCATCAGGAAAGAAACAGTGCCGAGACTGGGACCTGACTCCGGGGAAGGGGGTAATATTGGTCACAATCGCCAAAGAAGCTACAGAAGATACATTACGGCGTATGTTCCTGGATGGTCGGAAACTGAAGACAAGGGGGCGGGGCCTTCTTTTTTTGGTTTGTGTTGGTGGAGCCAATCATATGTGAGGTAGCCGTCCAGGGGGATGATTACAGGGAGAAGGGGATTTCGGGAGACATGCTTCATGGATGGGGTTATAGGGAGGTCA